TGCAACACTTGCTTCTGATAAAGCTGGTGTTGCTGGAGCTACTGCACTTGGGCTTGCATGGCCCGCATGCATTGCATCAGGTCGTCGAGCTGGCTCTGGCTAGTCGCCAGAGGGATGACAGTCGGTTCAGCAAAGGTCATTTCAACAGAGGGAGGAAGGGGGGCACCCATAGGCACCGTTGCTCGTGGCGCGTTCAGGCTGGGGACCCCGTTCACCGAGAGGGGAATGGTGAATTACCCAATGCAGACCGTGGGGACCTGGGGTTGTTCCCTGGAGTTATCCATCTCCATGCTTCGTCCGACGTAGATTGAAGAAGCCATGAGTGCTGAGTTTTCAGAGAGGAACAAAAAAACTGTGAAGGTTTAGAGGAAAGCTTTTAGACACGCTTCCCACAGACGGCGCCAAATGATGGTGCGCAATCCGGTCACTCCTAGATGGCACTTGCGTGGCTCCCGAAAAGGTACCTGAGTTGGAGAAGAAGAAGAATCCTTGGGGGCTTACCCGACGGGAACACTCAGATGCTTAAGTTAGGGTTCTGTAGGAAAAGCAAGGAGAGGATGAAGGCTAAGAGTGCAGATAGCGCGAGTGATAGAAGATGATACCTCTGTTCCTTGAGAATAGGCTTCTTATAACAGAAACCCGTTGCATTAGGCCCACTGGCCTCTGACAGGGTAGGTATAACCGCCACTGTCAGCCTGCCGCAGCCGTTACAAGAAGAGCTGAGGTGGCACGCATGGGGCTGTCATTACAGGGTACGTGCCTGTCAGGTGTAAGCCACCCTCTAAAGGTGGCATGCACGACGCTGTCTGGCAAGGGATATGGCTACTGTCCCCAGATTTCTCGTGTACGGTGGTTGGGTAGGAGATCTTCCTGCAGTAGGCCGAACTACCCTTCCGTGAGTTACCCTGTGCCGGGCTATCTTGTAAACGGTGAACTGCCTATGGCAAGCTAAGCCGAGCTGTCTAGCCCGAGGTGTCTTCACCTCGGGGTATCTATAGGCGAATCGGTGTGTTCCAGTCTAGGAGTGGCTCGAGATCCACTGGGAGGAGCTCGTGTATTAGGAAAGGTCAGGGGATCCCGAGCTTGGGGTGCCTTAGCCCCGGGGAGGAGGTGTAGGCCAGGCGGCTCCCGGCGAGTAGTCTATCCCACCGAGTTGTCGGGCTGAACTCGGTGGGACCTTCCCTCTGAGTTGCGGCTGCGCCTGCTGTGCTATCGCGCTGAGTCATCGTTTGAGCAAGGTCATGCCCACATGTACCCGGGCTACGAGGTCGGGCCAAATCACCCTCCATCAATAATATTTTGTTCCCCCATTTCTATTTGGTTATTAATTATAATAATAACAATAACTAAAATTTTATACTTTTTTGATAATTGTTAAATATAATTCTCAAATTTATATATTAGTTATAGAGTTTTCTATTTCTATAAAATGTTGTTAGTGAGTTAACTAATAACAATATTTATTAATTTTTGGTAATTTACTAATCGGACTAATAAGAATATTTAATTTTTGGTAATTTACTAACCATACTTATTAACTTTTGGTAATAACACTATTTAATACTCATTGAATATGGGTGGGATTAAATATTAACCATATTTTACTATTTATTAATTAATATGAATATTTTAAATGAGAGTGAGTTGATATAGATTGTGGGGATGCATTTTATGAATTGATTAGGGAGTGGGGCAACATGATACTTTACTATTGGTTTAAATGAGATACCTTAGGATAGAGATTATAGGAATATTTTTGGGTAATTGGGTGACATGCCTTAATGGGAGTGGTGGAAAGGGGAGAGGAGAGAAAGTCAAAGAGAATGCAGGTGGGGATAATGGAGCAAGGAGAGGCATAGTGATGAGGACACGTGCTTTGTTAAGCGAAAGTTAAACAATAGAAATACATAAGAGTATATAATTGTTTTATATTTTAACTTTTTAATAAACAATTCGATCAAACTCAACCCGAGTTGGTCGATTTTCTAGTATTTCAGATCGACTTTGGTTTAATAAATATATATTAATATTTTATACTTTAAATTTTATTTTTTAATACGGGAAAGTAGAAAAATTCCCATATTTTTTAGTCTAAAATATTTTATATCATAGATTTACTTTTTGTAATTTATTTTTTAATAATATCCTTGTAATTTATGAAATTTAGAGTTAAGTTTTAAGTTTAAGTCTTTTGAACAAACTAAACCGAATATAGACCTAAATCGATACAACCCAAGTTGGTGGGTTTTCGCTAATAGTCAATCGATTTCGAGTGACAAACTGCAAACTTGACCACATTGATTTGGTTGGCGAAACAACCTGCAACTGAATTGAACAAATCATTGAACACTCATAATTTTAACTAAATTTATAGTCTAATCTCTAATAAATAACAATAGTTTAATCTCCAATAATTATATTGAAAATTTATAGCAAACATACACAATCATTGAAAATAAGTTTATAATGAAAATATAATAGATATATAATAAAAATACAATAATTACAAAAACATAA